AGGTGCTGGATTTTGTCAAATGCTTTTTCTGCATGTATTGAGATGATCATATGGTTTTTGTCCTTGACTCTGTTAATATAGTGTATTACATTTTTTGATTTATGGATGTTGAACCATCCTTGCATCCCTGGGATAAATCCGACTTGGTCAGGGTGTATGTTCTTCTTGATGACACTCTATATTCTGTTTGCCAGTATCTTGTTGAGGATTTTTGCATCTATGTTTATTACGGAGATTGGTCTGTAGTTCTCTTTTTGAGTTGGGTCTTTCCCTGGTTTTGGAATCAAAGTAACACTTGTTTCCAGGAAAGAATTTGGAAGCCTTGCTTCCCTTTCAATTTCCTTGATGAGTTTAAAGAGTTATGGTGATAGTTCTTTAAAACTTTTGATTTTCATTACCTGATAATTAATGATGTTGAGTATCTTTTCATATCCTTATTGGCCATTCATGTATCTTCTTTTAAGAAATGTCTATGTAGGTTCTTTTCTCATTTTTTTAAACTTGAGGTTTTTTTTGCTATTGAGTTATATGAGTTCCTTAAATATTAGATATTAACCCTTACTTAATATTTAGTTAGCAAATATTTTCTTCTACTTCCATAGTTTGCCTTTGTTTTGTTGACTGTTTCCTTTGCTGTACAAAAGTATTTTTGTTTAATGTAGACCCACTTGTTTATTTTTCCTTTTGTTGCCAGTATTTTTGCAAAAAATCATTGCAAAGGCCAATCAAGAAACTTTTCTCTTATGTTTTCTTCTAGAAGTATTATAGTTTCATGACTTACATTCAGGTCTATTTTTGTGTGTGTGGTACTGGGGATTGAACCCAAGGAGTACCAAGCTATACCCTTAGTCCTCTTGATTTAATTTTACTTTTAAAATTTTGAGACAGAGTCTCATTAAGTTGCCCACGCTGACCTTGAGCTTATGATTTTTCTGTCTCAGCCTTGAAAGTAGCTGGGATTACAGACATGTGCTACCATATCCAGCTTATGTTTAGGTCCTTAACCCATCTTAAATTGCTTTTATGGTGTGTGAAAATAGTGTAAGATAAGGGTCTGATTTCATTCTTCAGCACGTGGATACCCAGTTTTCCCAGTAAAACTAATTGAAGAGACTATGCTTTCCTCATTGTGCATTTTGTTGAAAATTAATTGACTGCATAGGTTTGGTTTCATTTCTGGGCCCTCTATTCCATTCCATTAGTCTCTGTGTTTGTTTTTTCCAGTACTTTACTGTTTTGATTACTAGAGCTTTGTAACATAATTTGAAATATAAATAAGTGATTTTATTTTTATTTTATTTTTTGTGCTTATGATTGCTTTGGCTATTTGGGGACTTTTGTGGTTCCACACAAATTTTAGGGTTGTTCTTGAAAAATCTCATTAGAGTTTTGATAGAAATTGCATTGAATGTGTAGATCACTTCAGGTAGTAAAGATATAACAATATTAATTCTTCCAAACCTTGAACACAATATCTGTTTCCCTGTGTGTCTTCTTCAATTTCTTTCATTAATATTTTAGAGATTTCAATATCCAGATCATTCACCTATCTGTTCAATTTATTCCTAAGTACTTTTTATTTTATTTTAAGTGAGATTATTTCTTAATTTCTTTTCAAATAACTCATTGTTAGTATATAGAGATGCAACTGATTTTTGTATGTTGATTTTTTTTTTAGTTTTTTTTTGTACTTTATGTTGATTTTATATTGTGCAATTTTACTCAACTTTAGACAGTATATTTATTTTTGTATGTGGAGTCTTTAAGGTTTTTCTATATATATAAGATCATGTTGTCTGCAAATAAAGATAATTTTACTTTTTCCTTTCCAATTTGGATGTTGTTGATTTCTTTTCCTTGCCTAATTAAGAAATTTCATGATTTCATCCAAATACTGCATATCCCCATTAATCCATTAAGCCATGGCCATTTTGGACAATACCTATTTATTTATTTTTCTACAAGAAGTAGTGATTATTCACACTTTTCCATTTGACCAGTTGTTTACAAAGCTCTCAAGTCTCAAGAGAGGAAGAAACCTTGCTTGAACTATAATCACACTATCTACTATACAAAACATGAAAATAGTGCCATTAATTTTAGCAGTACTTTGGGGGAAACAACAATGGGAAAGCCTCTCACTTTGCTTCCTGCTGTCCTTCTTTCCAGGCCACACACACTCTTTTGACAGCTCAGGTGTATGATTTTGGATCTTTTTTCCAAGGATCTTTTTTAAAAGAGACGAGTGTTAAGAATCAGTGCACATCATCTTGATTACCAAATATAGTTTAATTTATTGTAAGTCATTTATCTCCCAGTGGCCATAAGACAAATGCTTCATCACAGCATTAAGGACGTTCTTACTTTGCTACAACAAGGCAGAAACACTTGTTAGATCACTGTAACATTCAAGAACTGATTTTATCTTGAAGATATCCTGACATATAAGGACAGTTGCCTCAGATAGGTAGACCTTACTTTGCTTACAACATCCTAGTACCTACTGTACATCTTCTTTTGGTATTGCTTTTCCATAATCCAGAGATGATTATGGCCCTTGCTATGCAAGGTCCAAATTCTCCAATAATTTTTGTAAATATATTTGCAAAAATGTATGTTTTTAATTATAAAGAAGTACACCATCAGCACAAGATCCTGAGATCCATCCCCAGTACCACAAAAAAAAAAAAAAAAAAAAAAAGAGAAGAAGTACACCATCATTGTAGAACAATAAAAAAAAAAATCAAGGTATCTGAAACATACAGATACAGATACAGATATCAGGGGTTTGGGTCTCTGAGCACGTATGAGCCTTTGGAGATTTGGAGGGTCAAATAGGAGCCCTAGAGACACTTCAGGAGGCTAGAGGTCTGCATAGCATTCCATGATCTAATCACCCTGGATAGTAATCTGGGAGCATCCTAGCACCTTTTTAGGGATGGGGTGAGAGTATTTACATCTTCTAGAACCCAAATTTCCCTTAATTTGTATTCTAAATATCTATTAAAACTTGAGACCCTCATCCACTATCTATCTCTTAACTAGCATCTGGTCTAGTCACCCTCTAATCTACCCTATCAGTCAGGTGACCTTTGTATTTACAAGTCTGGAATTATCAGTTCCCTCAGTAACTCCCTGTCTCTCTCAGTAAAAGGTAAATAAACCATGTGTTTGGATTCCACCCTCCCTCACTGCTTTCTCTTTTGTCAATACTACCTTGAGGCCTCACAAATGAGGATCCATAGCAAGATCTTTATAGTTTTCAGGCTTAGATCATAGTGTCCCTTCTGCCTGGAATACTCTTCTCCACTGTTCCTGCCAGGTCTGTTCCAGTGCATCTAGTAATATTCAATGTAAGGATCAACTTGTCTTTGACACTGTTTCTATTTCCTCATTTCCTCTGAGAGATAAGCATCCCTCTGTGTTTTCCCATAATGTTTCATGCACCTCTCTGTCATTGCTTGGATAGACAAAAATCTACCCAGAGCTCAGCTTACTGCTTTGTTCCTGGCTGGGATGTTGCCTAGAAAGGCAATGCTTGGTGCATTTCCAGCCATTTTTTGTCTTCAAGTTGAACTGGTTGAATTAGAAAGAGAAGTGATTACAGAGCCAAAGGGGTTTAGGACAAATCACTCCCAAATATGGGACCTTGGCATTAAAAAAAACAGCAGAAACAAGAAAGCCATTCTTACCTTTCCCTGCCTTTCTCCACTGAGACAGGTCATAAAACACAGAAAGGATGTTTCTGATTTCCCCTGAAGCAGATCTTAAGACCCTCATGCAAGTGGGCACCTGGAAGAAAGGAGCATACTCATCTCTGATGACCGAGGGTCACAGAAGACTTGGAACAAGTGGAACTGGCTAAGGGCCTTCTGGTTCATTACTGTTAGATCACAGCCTCTCTGTTCCACCTTGTATCCCCATGGCTATCTACTCCTCATCAAACCTAATGTAAGAATATACAGGTTTAACCATTTCTTCAGGTCTTTATTTCTTTAGGAGAGCTCTTGCATCATACAAAAGTTATTAAATAAATTTGTCTTTTTAATTTGTCTTTTGTTATAGAGAGCTCAAACATGAATCAGGGAAAGTGAGGACAAGATATTTTTGTCCTTGAGAGAGTATGTAAGTGTGCTGATGCCAGAATGCTCTAGAGAGCAGCCAGGACCTTGCTGAAAGAAAAGGGTTCCAGGAGGATGTGAGCCAGTAGAAGGCCTACTTTGCCTATTCTGCAGAGAGATGTTGAGTAATCTATTGTTTTCTTCTCTTCCATTTGAAAAATAGAGACATAACTGAAAGCATGATATTATGACATCAATTCACTTTAGACTGGAAAAAAATTCTCTTCTCAGATGAACTACTTATGTTAAACTGATTTTTAACAATATTGTGGAAGAAGAATGTGTCTGGAGTCTATTATCAGGAGAGCACTGCTGTCTTTGCCAACACTTGGCTCTGGAGCAACTGCCATTGGGAGATTACTAAAAAAAAAAAAATCAAATTTTTTTCAATAGCAAACTTCTTTGCCTACATTAGTCTTTTTTAAAAAAACAGAATTTGATGATGTGCTACAAGGAAAATCTAGTTTTATGTTAACTATTACAGTTAATATGGTCATGAAAATTAGATTCTTTTGTATATCTAATCAAAGTACTTTCACTTAAACTTTATTCCAGAGAATCAAAGACTAAAAAAGTGGAAAGAACCCTGGAAATCACTTAATCCAATTTACTGATTTTACGAACAAAATTGCCCGAATTATAAGCATAAATTCTGGACCCAGATTCCCTGGGTTTATCTGCTGGTATAAAATTCTGTGACCTTAGGTAGATTACTTAACCTCTTTGCCAAAATTTTGTTCAGTAAGGTGAGAATAAAAAGAGCATCTACTCAGTGTTGTTTGGAGGGTAGAATAGATTAATAGTACCTGTGCAATAGCATTTGCTATTATTATTGTTTTCTACACCTCATAGTCGATTAATTGAGACTAATATCCAAATTTTAAAACTTCTATCCAAGGTTCATTTCACAACTTCTCACTTTCCAAGTCCACCCAATTTTCACCTCTCTACTTTGTAAGATTCCACAGGAAAGGTTCAGAGGTATTTTCCCTCACTTTGAACCCAGAATCTCTCCCTCAGGGCCATGGACACAGTGACCTGTGTATCTTTGTCTGTAGTCTAATTTTAGCCCCGTCTCCTTTCTCTTCAATTTGTGCCAGCACTGTGGAGGTGCTTTAGGCCCATCACACATTTGCAGTGCTCAGTCTGCTGTAAGTGATCTGAACTTCTAAATTCAGCAAAGTTCTACCAGCTTTCTACCAGCTGAGAACCAGCTCTCAGCTCAGGCCCACAGGTTTTGGGGTCAGAACTCTGCACAGGCCAGGGCTTGCACTTTGGACCAACGTGCTCACTACTGGGCAGCCATCCTAAGGCCCCTTGGCGTCTTGCTGATATCTGCCCATCAGGTGTTGCATGGGCCTGGGCCTCCAAGCCAGTCCCACTGCAGCTCCCATGGAGATCAGCTCAAGATGACGGAGGATGAGCTCAGGGCCCAGAGTTCACTGTGCCTAAGTCGGGACACGCACCACCAGCCTCCAGGTCCGGTTAATCTTACTGACCACACAGAACTGTTTGAACATGGTTGCTGAGATGTCTGGGATAATCTTATTTATACGTGTCCTGGCATAGTTATCAATAATGCCCCCATTCCCTTTCGGAAGTGCCACCCTGTCCAAGGCCACACTGACCCTCCCCACCATGTCCTAAGTGACTGATGCTTTTTATACCGTGATTGGTTGGCTTTTTCTGCACCAAAGGCTTCCTATTTATATAACAATCTCTTATGCTCCCCCTTTCCCACTCCTTCCTCTGCCTCCAGCACCCTTCCCACCCCTTGGGAAATGAGCCTCCTATCCTAGCTTCCAGGGCTGGCTGCCTCCTGACATAAACACTGCCAGGGAGGGTGGCAGAGATCTGTTCCTCCCACTCTCTGAAACCTGTCCTCCCCTGTGAGAACAGATCCTGTCCTGGGTAGATCTCAGCAGTCCCCATCCATGACTCTAGAAGTGAGGGAAGAAGGGGAGCTCATTTGGTTTTAGGAATTTTTGGCATCTGTGAATCTCGTTAAGTCTGAGTAATAAAGAATTGGACCTTGCCCAAGGAGATCTTGCCTTCACTCTCAGTCTCTGGGAGATAGTCACATGGTCAGGGGCTGACCACACCAGATCTCAGGGTGGAGGACCAGGGTGACCATATGAGAAAGACCAGCCAGGTGAGGAATGGGAGTGTTCTGACCATGTGCATCTGTTGGCCTGGAGACTGGGATCAAGCTCATGCGCAGTTAGTCAGTCAGTGTCAATCAAGCCCGCATAATGGATGCTCAATCAAAACCTGAGCATCACAGCCTGATGAGCTCTTCTGGCTTTCCTGGTTGGCAGTGGTGTGCTTGTTGCTATACATCAGGTCCTGCTTTCACAGGGAGGGGAGAAGAGCAGCTTCAGGTTGGGACCCTGTTAGACCAGGCCTGTGCAGAAACAGCTTTCCATGAGTTCTCACCTCCTCTGGTGAATTGTTGGAATGGAGGGTGGTTTGGGGGATCTCCTGTGCTGGCAGTGGCCTCAGAAGCGAAGGCTGTCCTGGGAGGAGGCTGTGCCCCAAATTGTGCAACTTGGCTCAGTCTAGGTGGGCTCCGCTTTGCATCTTTATTTTCCATGGGAGACAGGACAGGGCCTGGTCTCTTGATCTCAGGAGGCTCCTTTCCTAGGCAGAGTTGTCTGGGCAGGAGTGGGAACTCCTCCAGTGTCAATGGGAAGCATCACTTCATGGTCCACAGGGTCTGAGTCTCACCTTTCAAGTCCACCCAAACATGACCTTCACTTCTGTGCCTGGATGGTAAAAACAAGTAGTCACTCATAGTTTCGGCTTGAATTTCTCTTCACAGCATTTAGGAGACTTCTCCGTAAGCCGGGACTAAGATGTGAGGGAAAGGGAGAAGGTGATCTGCACAATACAAGAGGAATAATTAGTTATTTTCACAGGGAGGGGGTTTGCTGAGTGCAGATGAAACAGAAAGAGGGAGGAATGGAACCCTTAGACAGAGGAGAGGCTGAGGTGAAGGAGAGAAGAGTGACAGGAAGCCCGGCTACTAACAGCCAAGCATACTGCTGCTGCCCAGCTCCTGCAGAGCCTTCCTGCCTGTCCAGCTTTCTTTCACTGCCATGGGCCTTGCACCCCTTTAGAAGCTGAGCACAGGCTCGTGAGAGGGAACCTGAGCCTCTCAGGTGAAGTCACAGTGCAGAACAGAGAGCAGCCCAGGGAAGCGGATGCCCAGGAGTCAGCAGTCGCCTCAAGGCCCACCTCGCATGTGGTTTGCAAAACCTCACAGAGGGCTTTGGGTGCCAGAGGAGGGCTGTGCCCCTTAAAGGGAACTGCACCTTAGCACCTCAGGACGGAGTCCCCAGCTGACATTTTAGTTACCTAGAAATTTTTCTATCTCAGCAGCTACAGAGTAGTGACCATTTGTTCAGCATTGTCCTAACTGGTTGGCCCTTATCTGATCTTCCCTACCACTGCATAAAGTGAGTTCTATTGTTCTGCTTTATGGTTTGGAAACATGACATGCAAAGTTACAGCTGCTCAGCAGTAGACTGTTTCTAGGTCCTGCTTATCATGTCCCATGAGTTCCTCATTACTTATATAGTTAGATCTCTAAGACCTTGTGGGGTGACCCCCATGGCCTCTCTGGCCTGGCTTCCTATCCTTGCTCTTTTCCTTCCTGCTCCAGGCCATGTAACACTAGTAGTTTGAGCACAAACCTCCTGATTATTCCCACCTGCGAGTCCCAGAGCCATTGTTTCCTCTTTTTGGTTTCCCCTTTCCCTCCCCTGGGCCAGGATGAGCAGGGCTGTTCTGACCTCCAAATACCGCCACTGTTGTCTCCTGGGCTACCTGTGGTGCACACTCATTGGCAGCCACAGTGCCGCACTCTTTGGTCCCAGTAGTCTGGAAGGTCCGTGCAATCCTGGGACAGGCATGGAGAACACATCCTGTAAGGTTTAAGTAAGCTGCATTCAGGTTAGCAAAATAATGATTGTGAAGATTGTTAAGATGTTAAGAGTGAGGCACGTTTTGAGTTTTCCTAGTGGAGCTGCTAGAAAGTGATAGGAGAAAACTAGGACTTTGTCACATCAGCTCTTCATGAATGAAGTGTGTGCTCTAGAGGCAATGGGAAAAGGTCTGGGGTTGGCAAGTGGCTCTCAGACCTGCCTCTGCTCATTGATGTATATATAGTAAGTTCTTACCAACTTTTTCTCACCTACTCATTTATCTCTTTTTTTCCTTCTTTCATCATTCTGATTTCTAGCATGTTCAACTTGATTGAATTTTTAGATTCCTTACCTGGAGCATTAGTGGATATGGTAAATACATCTCCCAAATATGTGTACATCCTAATCCCTGGAAACTGAGCACATGAGGTTATGTGGCGAAGGAATTAGGGCTGCTAATCACCTGACCTTAATATAGGGATAATATAGAGATAAGCTTGGGCTCAATGTAATCACAAAGGTCCCTAGAGTGGAAAAATGAGGCAGAAGAGATCAGAGTCAGAGGGACCTGAGCTATGGAAGGAGAGTCAGAAAGATGTAGCTTTGTGTCATACAAGCAGCTGAATTCATGGTGTTTGGTGTAACAACAATTGAAAACTAATACAGTAATGATTTCAAAGTGTCTGTGGGAAATTCTTCTTTTCAGTCCTAGTATTTGGAAGTCCAGAATCAGTCTGCCTGGGTTGGGTCCTTGGCTCTTGACATTGATTAAACCTCTTATACTGTGAGAACTAAGTGAGTTAATATTTCAAAAGTGCTTTAAATGGCCCTGCTCTGGCCCCAGTAAATTAGGGATATTATTGTTTTTTATATTCCTCTGCTGATATGTCATGCTAGTGAGGAGCTGTTCTAATTTACAAATACAATTGCATTTAATAGGCATTTTCTTCACATATACACTCATAAGAAAATTAAAAACCCACTGTCCTAATTTGAAGGTCTGGAATTAAATCCTAGTTTTGCATCAAAGTCTTGCATTGAGATGTTTAAAAAATACTCTCTTTGTGATGTGCAAAAATTAAGCACATAGAACAAGCTAAAAATGCACAAGCTATGCATTTAAATCAGATGGATCAGGGAACTTTACACAATTAGCTGATTGCCAGTAAGTAGGCAGGTTTTGATTTTTTCATTAATTGAACTGCTAGGAAGGTGGGGTTCAAAAACAGAATTTGGTATTCTTTAGCATTTCATAAAGTATGGTAAGGCAGAGTTTGTTTTAAAACATACTGCAAGATAGAGGTGGGTCAGGAATGTTTGTTTAGAAAAAACATATTTGCCAAAAAAGAACAAGGACTTTTTTGGAGATGACTAATTTGGAGCTTTTCAATATTTCTACCTACAGATGCAAAGAATATTTGCATTGGTACAGAATGGTTTTCTACTTTATTTGCAAGTCCAGCTGACAGTTTCCAATGCAAATCAAAGTATTTGTACTTGCAAAAGGCACCCACCTGCATTCTGAAGATGATAGAGTAGAAAGCTGCAGAGCTCTAATGTGCATTTATATTTGAATTTCTTTCTCCTTACTCTCAGCTCTCAGCAGCCTTTTTGTTCCTCCAAAATTCAGTTGAAAACATTGTTCACTTCCCAAGGAGAAACACCTGTGTCTTTCTTGCCTATTCCAGTCTCTTTCACTTTTGGCTGATTTAACTTCATCCACTCAGTGGCAGAATCTAGAGATGCCCTAATTTCTGCATCTCACATAAGGCCATTCTTCCTTTCTCCCTGCCCCTCTGTCATCCTTACCGCTGTTATTTCTGTCTAGACCATGGCCGATGCCTTCAGCCGCTCCCCATATGTTCTCTATCCAGTTATTTTGCCAGGTGCAGTTTTGATATTATCACTCCAATTTGTACAGCACTTCATTATCTCTTGCTGGCCACTACACAAAACATGAATCTCTGATTCCAAAATTCAAGGCCTTTGTCCATTCCCAATGTACACCCAAGGTTTGCTCCTCCATCACCTCAAGGCTGCTACATTTATGGAGTTTCCTTTCTGAAACGACTTTCTCAGTTCCTCTTCTGCACTGTGAAGTCCTACCTATTATTAAACCAAATTTCAAAAAGAAATATTCTTTGCTTTTCCCTAATTACCTCTACACATATTTGTTATATGGCAATTTTATTGTACAGACAGCTCTGTACTTGCTTTTCCCTCTAGTGTAAGATTTTTGAGAATAGGGTCTTTGCTATCATATTACATTGATACACACATACCAGTATTTATAGCAGCAAAATTCATAATAGCTAAATTCTAGAAGCAGACTTTATGCCCATCAACAGACAAATGGATAAAAAAGTGGTATCTATACATAATGGAATACTACTTGGCAATAAAAAGGTGTAAATTCAAGACTTTTGTAGGAAAATGAATATACCTGGAAAATGTTGAATGAAGTAAATCAGGCACACATCTTTCCAGGATGTGCCTAGAAATGTTGAAGTAAATCAGGCACACACCTTAAGCACTATATTCCATTTCCCATTTGAGAAGGCAAAGTATAAAACAGCAAAATAAAGGATGGATGGAAGGAAACCAAGGGATAGATCTCTTGTAGGGCAGGGGTCCAGGCAAATGAAGTTGAGGGAGGTGGGGAAGAGAAGGAGAAGTAAGATTTAAAATATGCTATGTACAGTTACCAAATACCCAGAATGAATGTAAACATTGTATGTCATAAACACTAGCTAAAAATAATAACAACAACAAGAATGAGAATGGAGAAAGGGGATTTAGATGTGGAGGGAGGAAAGTGGGAGGGAAGGGAGGGAAGAGGAAAAGGATTGAAAAAAAAGAAACAAACTGTGTATGTACAGGTACCTACTTCCAAGATGAATGTAAATTTCATGCACTGCAAACATGTACTAATAAAATTAAAAAGAGAAAAAGTTCTGTGCGTACTTCAGATCTATGAATATCTCCCACATCTGTCACATTACCTTGAATATAGCAGTGAGGTAGATATTTTAAAAATAATGCTCAATAATATATATGAAGGTACTATTTTCTTTTTTAAAAATGCAATTGCAAAAGTTCATGAAGTATATATTCTAATGTTTAAGTCTGTAAAATGTGTAAGTATGGCATGCTTTGGAAGCCTTAGTATTCTGTATTCTTGGTAGAAAAGACTTATGGCTGGATGGATTCAAATGGATTTCTAACACACACACACACACACACACACACACACATGCACACACACACACATACACACACCGTGTAATTATGTGGACCTGAAATGAAATGCACAGATTTATTTAGGAAAGGGTCTTAAGGTAAAATGATCCAGTCAAGCATTTTCAGATCAGTCTATGTAGCAGTTATCTAAGTAACATGTTATGCCAAAACTTTGTGGCTTAAAACATTCATGATCATAGACCTTTCTGTGTGTTTGCAATCTCAGAGTAGTTTAGCTTGATGGTTCTGGCTCAGGTGGCTCGTGAGGTTGCAGTCAAAGGGCAACTGTGGTTTCATCCATCTGAACACTGGTCTGAGGGTGGAGGGTCCAATTGCAAGGTGACTCATGACAAATTAGTATTGGTGCTGGGCAGGGGCTCTAGTTTCTCATCACATGGTCCACTCTATTGGGCCCTTGAATGTGGGGCATGGTAGACAGAGTGGGTGATCCAAAAGAAGTACTAGGGAGAAGGAGGGAGGGAAAGAAGGAAGGAGAGAGAGGGAGAGGGAGAGGAGAGGAAAGAGATAATGCCTTTTAATTGCACAGTCATCCCTTTCAAAGTGGAGAAAGACCATGTAAGGGCATAAACATCAGGAGGAGAGAATCAGTGGGAGCCATGTTGGTGGTTAGGTGCCACAGCTTAGCAATTCCTGTGCGATTATGTCTTTAGGATCCCAGCAGAAAAAGTGGTTTGTTATCATCTCTTAAATTTCGTGGAGTTTGGTCAGACCTAAGGGACTAGTCTTCAGAGATAGACTGATTTCCAGGCATAGTTTTTTTGGGGTCACCTTGTTCACTTTCCCCTAAATCAAAGAAATTAGGGGAACTTTGATTCCCAGGCTTTTCAGTTACCTTTGAAACAATGCAGCAACTTGAGAATAAGTTTACAACCATAAATGGTTTTTGGGCAAGAATTTGGTTGAACATTATAAAATATGTTCCTATCCTGCCAGAGTGCCCCAAGTACTTTTGACTTTTTTGTAGGGCTGATTTCTTCTGAATGGAAGTTATTTCTCTCTCCCTTTAGAAACATATTCTTTTTTTTTTTTTTGGTACCAGAAAGAAACAAATTCTTTTAATAAGGATCTGGATTGGCTTCAGTTATTTACTCAGCACTGTCTCAGCTGCAAGTTGATGATTAGATACATTCCATTTCAGTGACATGCACATTTGAAAGGATTCATGCTTCTAATCATAAAAAGATAAAGTTTTTTTCTCTTTCCTAACATCTGGAGTCTGATGAATAATTACTATAATTAAACAAGAGGCCATTGTATGTTTGAGTATTTTTTAAAGCTTCAAATGCCTCTCTGTGTGCGAGACTCACGTTGTGCACTCTTTGTTCTAACGCATTCTGCTGTGTGGTACTCACAATCCGCTGAGGTGCCTCGCTGGCTGGCATTAAAACTAGATCATCAGGTCTAATCTTTATCCTGCCCTCTTCTGCTTCCCCCAAACCCTTAATAAGCGAGCCCCCTGCTCCCCCCAGGATGTTACAACTGGGCCTCCCATCCCTCATGGCACAGAAGGGCACAGAGGGCTGTTCATTTAGGGGGGTGTTAGCTCTTCTCCACTTCCCCCAACCAATACTAATTTAATGATAGCAACTCAAATAATAAGGCCATATCTATGGTTATTAAAGCAAATGGAGATGTGCTTTATGTGAAGCAACGTGAAATATGAAATTGAAACAACATGCAGTCAGATTTGTAGTGTGGCACCTTGTATTTTTTAGGCACTCTTCTCCCAGCAAATCACA